TACTTGAAATTCCAATTTTACCCTTAACATTTAAATACGGTTTTTTCCACTTCCCGACCAACATTTCTCACTTTCTTACTTCTCTCTCTAACTCTCTTACTCTCTAACTATCTAAAACACTCTAAAAATCTGGAAAAAAAAATTCTAAATTTTTTACTTCATTTTAAAAAAAACAACAATCATCAAAAACACAAAAAAAAATGGGTGATTCGAGGCGGATAAAGCTGAAATTTGGAGGGATGAGCTTTGGCGGCGGTGGAGGCAGCGACGGAGGCGAGCAAGTGAATTTTTTTTCAATTACGGATTGTGGAACTTCCGCCCAAAAAATCCGGAAGTTCCAAAGAGGATCCGGAAATTCCAGGCGGATCCTCCTTGGAACTTCCGAATTTTTTGGGAGGAAGTTCCAATTTTTTTTTTCCCGTTAATAATTATTGTTGATATTATTATTATTGTTGTTATTATTATGGTTAGTATATTTTGTAGTGTTATTATTTTTAAAAATATGGTAAGTATTATTATTTTGTTGATATTAGGGTTTTTATTATTATTGTTATTATGGTTATTGTTGTTGTTGTTAATTTTTTTTTTTTTTTGGATTTTGTTATTTTTGTTGTTATTTTGAAGTGTTATGGTTAGTATTATTATTATTGTTATTATTATTATTATTATTATTATTATTATTATTATTATTATTATTGTTATTATTATTATGGTTAGCATATTTTGTAGTGTTATTATTTTTAAAAATATGATTAGTATTATTATTAAACTAAGTTGATATTAGGGTTTTTATGGTTATTGTTGTTGTTTAATTTATTTTTTGTTGTTGTTGTTGTTGTTGTTGTTGTTGTTGTTATAATAATATTATTATTATTGTTATTAGTAGTACTATTATTAATATTTTTAATTATGATTAGTATTATTGTTGTTGATATTAGTGTTATTATTATTGTTATTATGGTTATTGTTGTTGTTGTTAATTTGTATTTGTTGTTGTTGTTGTTGTTGTTGTTGTTGTTAATTTTATTTGTTGTTGTTGTTGTTGTTATTATTCTTGGCCTTCTATGGTTATTGTTGTTGTTGTTGTTAATTTTAATTTTTTTTTTTTGTTGTTGTTATTACGATTATGATTGTTGGTGTTGTTGTTTTGATTATTGTTTATTATTATTATTAGTATTAGTATTATTATTATTATTATTACTAAAATCGGATTTTTTTTCTTATTTTATGTAGATCGAGGGTTCTGGTGCTCGACATGCAATTTCACGACGTCTGAATGCGTCTGTTAGGAGACAGACATCTCGTTTAGCACCGCTTCAGCCCGAGCAGCAGCAATACGGGTCTACTAGTGGTTGGTCGGGAGACCAACAGTCTGGTAGTAGTCGGCCCTTGTACTCTGCAAGTGGAGCACCCATATCTGACGAGGAAGACGAATGTTTGGCTAGTCATGCTGGTGACCAGGATGAAGAATAGGACCCTCAGGATTACCATATGGTATATAGGGGTTAGTTTGGGAGATTTGTTGGTAGTGGATCGAGTCAGCCTACTTCCAGCTCTGCAGAGGCATGGTTAGTGCAGGAACCGATGCCGGGTGGGCCTGAGGATGGGTCTGTTATCCCTAGTTTTGGCGGTCACGTGGTACGGTATATCTAGATCGAGCAGGAGTGTAGTGTTTTGCGCTGTTTAAGTAGGACAAAGTTATGTTCTGACTTGTTCACTTGGCGAGGTCGTCAATCTGTGGAGGACCTCGCGGCGATTGATGCTAGTTGGTTGTCTCACTTGCCCGGCCTGATGTTTACAAGACTTGATTGGCCGTTGATTTCTGCTTTTGTTGAGAGGTGGCGGCCAGATACGAACACCTTTCACATGCCATTTGGGGAGATTACGATCTTGTTGCACGACGTGTACAACATACTTGGGTTACGGGTCGCAGGCAATATGGTCACCACTACTCCTAGCACGGACGTGTTACGGGACGCGTGCTCGATCACCATGGATATGACTCCAAATGATCTGTCTGAGATTTGTGGCACAAAGACCATTTGGCAGGGTAGTGGGGTGTTGACTGATAAGATTTTTGAGTCGACATTGGCGGTTGACCGGGAGTTTAGTGATCAGCTTGATGGATACTTGTGGTTAGTGCTTGGAGGTACACTGTTTGTAGAGAAGAGTGGTAACCGTACGCATCCTTCCTTCCTCCACGAGCTATGTTACATGGATGTCCTTATTAACGTATGCTTGGGGAACAACTACACTGGCCTACTTGTATCGGCAACTGGGCACGGCATCACGGAAAGGTGATGATTCGATTGCTGGTTGTCTCACGCTTCTGCAAGCGTGGATTTACGAGTACTTTCCGTGCTTTCGGTCACAGCAGGGTACCTTGACCCGGGACCTTCAAATGCCTCGTGCGTCTGCTTGGGATGTTGGAACGGGATGTCCTAGCAAGAACCTGGAGCGCCTGTTATCTTTTCGTACTAGAATTGATGCGCTTACTAACCGTGAGGTGAACTGGCTACCGTACAGAGTTGATCCTGCATTACGACTGCCCCCCACTTTATTCATTGGCTGCATCCAGTACCGTAACATCATTGAGTCGTACATGCCTGATAGAGTGGTGCGCCAGCTTGGTTTCGTGCAAGGCATTCCCCACGAGATCATCAGGCCAGAGAAGGCCAAGAGGCCGACTAACTTGAAGATGTATCGGGTAGACTTCCCGACCGAGATGACAGATGTGATGTGGAAGAGGTTTGTCCCTGGGGTATCTCAGAGTGTAGTTTTAGGTGCCCTCACCAGGCTTAGTGCTGCAGCTCCTTCGGTTGCTCCTGGTTACATGCAGTGGTTATACAGGTTTTCTCACCCGCGGGTATCTCCAGGTGCAGGAGTTACAAGCAACCTGCCTGAGCGGAGTAACACTGATTATGTAAGTATTTATGCTTATTATTATATTAACAATGACTTCTATGAATTTTTGTGTTTATAATATGTTATTGTTTGATTTGCAGTGGATGGGTCGGTCCATGGAGATTCACCAAAGAGCATTGGCTGAGTATCCTAAAATGTCGAGTGAGACTCGAACAATGACTGAGCAGCTTGTATTTGATTGGAAGTAAAAAATGGGACTCTAGATTATTTTGATTAGAAGTTGTGTTAGTGGTTTTAATTATGTTATGAACTTATTTTTTTTTTAAATGTAATGTATAAACTGGACACTTATTTATTTTTATTTTTGATGTTTTGTTGCATATCATGTTAAATTAAAAGCAAATACATTTAAAATTAATTTCATAATTCTAATTTTCTTACAAATGTTCAAAGTTAGTGAATGTACATTACAAACTACCTAACTAATGCATCCCACATGTCCCTTCTCAATTGATATTGTTGATCCCATCCATTAACACTATCCTCGTGGTGTTCCGTCCACCAACCGGCGATCGGCGGGAGAGGTGAATCAGGTACAAGGTCAAGACGGATGAAATGTGATCCACCAACTGTAGCAATCACTAACTCTCGAGTCGGTGACCGAACCCCATTGCGTGCCCTCACCGGTAAGAGTGTGATGCATGGGTAGTAGCAAGTTGGTACAAGGCCTACCCCAAGACAAATCACCCTTGCGTTGAACCACATAGCAATAGGAAATAAATCTTGAATTGTAACCATCCAATGTCGCTCCCCGACAGCCCCACCATCCCATCGAATACGCACTACGTTCATCCAAAGTCGCCCAAGCCCGTAAATCCGTTCGTACAAATCAGGATGACCAGCGATCTCGTTTGCTATTGTTTCCCGAGCGTCAAACCACTGATTTTGATCGCCAAAGAAGAGTTGGCGACACAACGAAAGCCACAGTTCCCATCACCAATGACATCCTTCCAAGACGAAATGTACGGCAACATTGGGCCTGGAAGCAAGTTCAAATACCTACATTGACTAATGTCACTTGGATCTACAACACAAAATTAAAAGATATATTATTAGTAAAGCTACAAGTATTAAGTTTACATATTTTAATATTACATATAGAATTTTAATATTACCTGGTTCTGGGTCACCACCACGTTGAGTGTGTTGACGGTTCACATGCTCGAAGTAGCTACGATCACGCCTGGTGTCATTTTTCCTCGGTCGACCATGAGTGTTGAGGTTGATATGTGGTTCTTCAAGGTGTGTATGATCTGGATGTAGCTCCTCTTCAATGATTCGCGTTACATTTCGACGTACGGCCGGGTCACTTTCCATGACTTCATCAATTAGGGACCGAAAATGTGCAGCCTCCTCGTCGAATCATTAACCACTTCAGGAATGTTAACACCATAACCAATAACCAGTGTCTTCCAGAAAGAATGAATTTGGCTGCTATACAATCCTGTATGTGCAACTATCGAATCATGTATCCGGCAAGCACATGGAAGACCATGGGTCACACGCATAGCACATCCACACCGTTCATGGACTTGGTATTTCAAATCCCGCATCCTTTTCGTCTCGTTATCCAGTACTTTCAAGCAATGTTGAGACACTTTGCCATTTATACGTGACAGTGGCAACTGTCTGTACATCTGACCAATTTTAGACCTTGATGCCTCCAAGTCATTACGAATTTGTATGATGCGATTACCGATATGACAATGGACTCGGGCCCATACGGTATCCAAAGAACCTACCAATTATTCTAATTAGTAAATACCTTTTAATTTTTTTTATTATAATTACAATTACGTAACAACGAGAACAACTATTAAAATAATACAACTAACCTGTGGATGATTCAAACCAAGTTTTCACTGCTGAATGTTGGCTCTCAACTCTGCAGTTGGTGGTGTTACCAAAGTGAAGAACCTGGTTCGTCCAAAATTTCACAAATTTCTCCTTATGACAAAGCCATGTTCTCTGAACATACTGAATCACTGCCGGATATTTTCCCCACCTCACTTGCATGGCAGCTAGAGCATGATCATACTCCGCCTGTGTTGTTGCATTCACGATTTTGAACCATC